ATCCATTGTACTTCGTTCAGTTACGTATTACTCGAAAGCACAGGCATCAGCGGCAGTAAAGTTCTGTGATGAATTTTGTACGTGTTTTGCCCTGAGTTTTTTTAATGTTGAACAGACCGCCGTCATGTCTGTATCTAACTTAAATCTCTCTTCTGCAGTTTGCTGTCCACTATAATGGAGAGCGCTGCTATGAATAATAATAATTGTTGGCTGTTTTAAAGTTGTCTGCTAGTGTTGCATTGTGGTGGATTTTCAGTGACGGCTTGATGTGTTCTATGCTTTTTTTTTCGTTAAACCAGTCTGGTTGTTTCTTTTTGTTGGATTTTCCCAGTACTGCTTCGCTGGTTTTATGAATCGCATCTCTTTGTTGTGTTTAGCCTTGTTCAGCATCCACGATTGAGATTGAAGTTATCGGTGGAAATGATTCTTATTATTAATATCAATGGTATAAATATAAATTAATTCTGACGTAAAAAAAGTACCTTTTGTTAGCGACTACGGCCTAAACAACATTGTAGTCCTTTCCAGGACATTTTATAGCTCAAATCGCCCGGATATCTCTATACTCTCGCCCGGGAATGCCCTATATACTTCCTTTCACTGTTCGATAAACCGCAAGCTCTTTCATACCACTACATCTTCATTCTTTTGTCATTCCTATCGGAATATCAATGTAGTATATCGATTTCTAAAAGAGGGCTCTATGAAAGTATATTTTGGAAAATTTCCATAGGCTGCGAGGCAGGAAACTGTCTAGACATTTAGGTAAAACTAGTTTTTAATGTTATAAGGATATTATTATATTGTCATTGTTCAGGACATTATTCATTTGGTAAATAAAAAATAATAATTTAAAAACTATTTAAAGTGATTTAAAAAAATACTATAATGGGTGTACCGTTAAAAAGAGCTCTTCTTTTTATATTACTAAAGGGGCCATTAACAAATGTAATTTCCAAGTTCCTAAAACAGTTGCCAGAGGGCAAAAAAATTGTATTTTTACAAAATTTTTTTTTTTTTTTTTTATTAT